CTTAAACTCTAAACCCCAACCCTAAACCCCTGAACCCTGGACCCTAAACTCTAAACTCTAAACCTAATTACAGCCCCAAACTCTCGGCCATACCTTCAACTTTTCCTCGCGCTTCTTGCCTACCTCATTTGGGCCAAGGCTTGCTCTGGGGCAAAGCGTGAGTGTAGGCTTCGGGATTCATGGCTTGAAGGATGTTAAGCTTCAGGGTTGAGGGTTTATAAGTCTTGGGTTAGGTTTTTTAGGGCTTTGGGCTTAAAGGGTTTATTGGATGTTGATTTACGGTCCAGGTTTGAGGGTTTAGGTCTGGGGTTATAGGTTTTACAGGGCTCAGGGTTTAGTGGACGTTGGTTTACTGTCCAGCTTGTTTTCCTTCTTGAAGTCTGGGCCGTGCAAGGATGGACACCGGATGTGATGTTAAGACAAGGTTTCATCATGACATTCAGGGTTTAGGGGTTTAGGGTTTCCCAAGGTCCGAAAACCCAAGCCCTTGTCAACTACTCTATCTCCCTGGGCCCATATAGCTGCTAACACCCGGACAAGAAAGAGTCCCTTCTGGTTTCCCGAACTATAGGGTGCTGTATTCGAGCACAATTATGTAGGATTACCCCAAAACCATGGTATTGACAGTGACCTAAGCGCCGAACGCTGAAACCCGATTGGGAATCCCCAGTCAGAACTGCACGGCTTTTCACCCCAAGAAATCCCTAATCTTCACACCCTAAACCTTCAACCCTCTCTCCTAAATCTTAAACCTATGAACCTTATATCATAAACCTTGAAACCTATATCCTATATCCCAAGTCTTAACGCCTAGTCCTAATTCTTAAGACTTATATCCCAAATCTTGACGCCTAATCCTAAATCTTAAGCCCTATATCCCAAATCTTAACGTCTAAACCCAAGTCCCCCAACCCTGAACCCTAAACCCCTAAACCCCGAACACTAAACCCCTAAACCCCTAAACCCTAAACCCTAAACCCCCAAACCCCTAAACCCAAAGCCCTAAACCTAGACCCTTCCCTTTGCAGGCTGCAGCAGAGAGGATCCCGGAAATTAAGTCCCAGGCCGTGGATGAGGACATCAACTTACTGCACCTTGGATATAACCCTAAGGGTCCAAAGGACCCAACAATCAGGTACTTTGGTTGCGGATGGTAGTTATCTAGATTTAATATTTGGGGGAGTATATGATTATTAGGTACTTTCACCCTTAGGGTAAGGGCCTTAGTACCTGGAATCGGGTTTAGGGTTTCAGTGTTCGGGATTAAGGGTTTAGGGCTTGGGTCCAGCAGCTCCGGATCGAGCAGTTTGTAGTCGAGCTTACCTCAGCCGGAAATCATCCCACCCACCCAAGATTATCATACTATCAGGAAACTATCATATGTTTAATTAGACTTTAAGGTTGGCATCCTAAACCCTAAGCCCGCAAAAGGACCCGGGTTGGTTGAAAGGGGAGGGCGGGAAACAGAGGGGGGGCTGTTGCAAGGGGAGGGCCGGATTCGTTGCAACAGAATGTGGGGAGGGCCGGCAACAGAAGAGGGCTGTCGCAAGGGGAGGGCCGGATTCATTGCAACAGACTTTGGTTCAGCAGCAGATGAATTAAGGTTTAGAATCATAAGCTACAACTAGGAGCCCTCAGGAATACTAATCATTACTGTACCTTGGACCTGAAGGGTTGAACTGTTTGGGGTTTAGGAGTTTGGGGTTGAGGGTTCAGGGTTGAGGGTGGTGTGAGTATGAGACTGTGGGCCCACGGGGTTCAGGTGCAGGGTTTCTGTTGGGGGAGGTGCTAGATGCACGGTCGTTATTTGCGGTGCCTTTGGCGGGTTATTGTTTCTCTATCTACCTCACGCTGAGAAGCATCTATCACCAAGACGGGCCCTACTCGCACAGCTGAAGACACCTAGAAACCCTAAACCCTACACCCTAAATCCTAGCCCGAGCGCGAAGCAGTTGCTCATTCTATAGGCCATACTCCGCTGGAGGTGTCTCCCCGGTCAGATCAACAAGGAGCCCTCGAACGACGCCAGCGACGTCGTCCATGGAGAAGCTCTGCAGGGGATGTTGGGCTTTCGGGCTCGGACTTCATTTGGGTAGTCTTCTAAACTAGGGTCCCTTTTGAGGATCTTTTTTCTTTATAAGGGTGCCGCACGATTCGGGGGACCTAAGAAGGGACCCTAATTTGGCGAACTACAGGGCGCAGGATTAAGATCTCGAAAGTTCGTCACATCAGTAGCTGGGCTGCACTGCGGCTGCAGGGTTCAGTGGGTCAGGGGCTGGGTTTTAGGGTATACTTCCAGCGGCAACAGCCCAAACCTGAAATTCCTGAAGCCCTACATGGAAACCCTCAGCCACCAACCACAAACTGCTTTAGGGGCCTGTGAACTACCTATGCTATTTTGGGGGGTTCCTTACTATGCTAGATCCTATAATGGACCCCCCAAACCCGACTCTAATTATTAAGGCCCCTTAAGTAGACCATCCGAAAGCTAACCCCATCTAGCGCTTGTCTAGCTCCCAAGTATCCTTAAACCCTGAACCCTAAACCCACGAACCCTAAAGCTTTCATGCCTAAGCCAAAAACCAAAGCTCAAAGACCCAGAACCCTAATCTGAACCGCAAATTCTCAACCCCTCAAGTTG